ATAGAAAAAAAAAGGGGGATATAGACATGCCACCCAGATTACAGAGAATTTTCTTGCAACTTCAAATGTATGATCTAGACATGCAGTACACACCAAGAAAACATCTACTTATTGCAGATACGTTATCCAGAGCATATGACGCAATGGAAAATGATAGACTTCTAGATTCAGACATAGTATATGTTAATCTAATTAAAAGAGTGATTCCTGTCACAGATAAAATGTGGGCACTAATTGAAGAAGCTATTGCTCAGGATACCACATTGCGGAAGTGATAACAGCTATTTGTGCTGGTTGGCTTGAAAAACATATACCCAGCTCCTACTCCCAGTTCAAGGAAGAGTTATCAGTACTGGATGGCATTTTGTTCAAAGTCTCATGACTTGTTGTTCCAGCAATGCTAAAGAAGGCCATGTTAAGCAGAATACATGAGGGACATCTAGACCATGAAAAATGCAAAAGGAGAGCCAGGGGTGTTCTATATTGGCCCAACATAAATATTGATATAAAAGATGCTGTAAAGGCTTGTACAATTCCAGCTCCTAACAACTATGAAACTATGAAACATGCCTAAAGTACGGATCTGCACAAAGAAAAGAGCCCATGGTGGTCATGAAGGCACCTGTAGCTCCATGGTATCAAGTGAGCATTAACTTATTCATGCATGCAGGGAAAAATTATGTATTAGTGCTGGATTATTATTCTCACTATCCTGAAATTGCATTGCTCAAAAGCACAACAGCAAACCATATCATAATGCACATCCAATCGATTTTTGCTACACATCGGATTCCACAAATTGTGAGAACAGACAAGACCTCAATTCACCTGTCTTGATTTTAAAGGGTTTTAAACCAAATATGGATTCCATCACAACACTTCAGGTACTACATACCCACAATCCAATGATCTGGTGGAAAATGGAGTAAAAATGGTGAAGAAATTTTTGAAAAAATCTACAAATCTACACACCAATGTTTACTTGTCACTCTTAAATTGCAGGGCAACACCCATGAAACAAAGATTGTCCCTAGCAGAAATGCTTTTTAATGGGAAACTCAAAACCAGGCTGCCAAATCTTGTGGATGATG